AGTGATGGATGATAGAAGTGTTTATGAGTATAAGAAAAGAACATTTTCTGATTGGAAGGAAGTTAAATCTTTGGATCATGTAGAAAATGGTTCAGGGATTGTCCTATTAGCTTGAATAGTCCTGTTAGGTGGAATAACTGTGATTAGGAAAATCTATTCCATAAATAGCAGACCTTGTAATTCATGACAAAAGAGAGAAAGGAATATAATTTTTTCAGGAGACAGTAATCATTACAAAAATCCATTCATAGGGCCTCTATGGTGGTACAAGGGGTTAAGTCTCAGCACTGTGAAACTACCCACAGCCACTGCAGCACTAGTTCGATCCCTGGCCAGGGAGGTGACCCACATGGCGCAGCAGACCTCTCCTGTCTCGCCTGCTGCTCCCCTCAGCAGTGTATTTCAGTCAATCTGCCTGTTCTGTTCCCCACTCTCTCTGGTGAATCCTCTTACCCCCAACACCTCTGGCTTGTACCCCACTTCTTGTATGCATAGATAAAGAAATCTTAAAAAAAAAAACAAAAAAACAACATGAGCATAGTAGAGCTTAAAGCACTGGTTGCTGTTCTGCATGGATAGGCTCTTAGACTAGTTTGCACGTCCTATTTTGACACTTGTAGGCGCCCAAGTTGGCAGAGGGTGGCAGATAGCAGAGAGGGATCAGATGACAGTGCAATATTAAGGTAGTGACAAGGAGCTTCTGCTTGACTTAAAGCAGAGACTTCTGGAGCACCCCTTTCTTCCTGCCAGGCACCAGTGCTTTTGCCTGCAGCACTTCATACCCTAGACCTGGAGATAAGCAACAGGAGGTGCATAGTGACTCGGGTGTTACTGAGAACAGATCATCAAAGTCACAGAATGGGAAGGGGCCTTTGCTACCAGGGGAATCCTGGAAACTACAGAGAGATGTAATAACTGGGCTTAGAGAGCTGACAGAGACAGCTTTGCCTTACTTACTAGCCAGTCTCAGGGTGAAGCAACCCTCCTTGAGTGACAGACAGAAGATCCAATTCCAAATTGTTTAAGGAAAGGGCGTTTTCTTATGTGTGCCTGTGTTGGCAAATTTTACTAATTTCTGCAAGCATGACTAACTTAAGAGACCCAAGTTATGTGTTAAAAGATAAACGGAGGCATAGTAAATGCTTTAAGAGTTTACTGGAGCGAAAATCAGTTCAATCAGGCAGTTCTAAAACCGGAAGTGGTTAATAGTGGCCTGACGACAGGAACCCAGGGAATAGACCTCGTGGAGAGTGTGGGGAGGCAAAGGAAGCAAATTATTGATTGACTATAGCTTGAAGTCTACTTGGCCCTTGGTAATGGGTTGTTTTTAGCCTTTTGATTTTGTAACCTAGAGGCATTTACAAGCTTAGATTTCGGTTTCTTTACAAAGGCCTGCATGGTGTTAGTGCTACCTCAGTGGAACTGCCTGCTTGTTTAATTCACTGGACACATTACCAGCTTGTCTCTCCCAGTCTTTTTTGGCTAGACTGTTGTATTGGTGAACTGCTTTGAAGGCAGCCCACTCTTTCCTGCCACCACCACCATTCTGGTAAAATGGCAAGCCTTTCTTTAGTACTGTGGGAGAGTGGCTCCTTCAATTCCAAGAGTGAGTGAATTTAGACCCATTAGCATGATTCCAAACCTCTTCCCTAAATCCAGGATGATAGTGGAAACCTTAGGGAGTAAGGCAATAGAGGCTGACCCTAGTGGACCCTTGAAATCATGGAGTGGAGGTGAATAGACATGGAATGGAACGGGGGTCTCTGGGCTGTTAGTATTTCTTTTGCATTGTTACAGCTAATTCTCATAATTACCCAGTCTAGGGATTTGATTATTTTTATCTGTCACAGAGTGAGCAAGAATCTTGATAGAGCTCCTGGTTTCACTGTTTGACTACACCATCCACTCCTGAAGGAGAAACCACCGTGAGTGCTGGTTGATTTAAATATTAAGTGCTGATAATGATAAGCTGGACAAAGTCAACATCACCTCTTTATTCCCCTTCTTATGATCTCTTCCTTCAACTCTTAGATCTTGGCTACTCTTTTTTTGTGCCAAACCTTTCTCTGTATTCTCTTACTCTTTTCCTGATGGCATTTTTATTGCTCTTTTATATATTATGTATGAGTCTATAACCAGAGGATTATACAAAGCTCAGAAACATGTGCCATGTTTACAGTAAGTAGTAGACTTCGTTATATTTCATGAAGTTCAATTTTGGGGCTCCTGAATTATTGACCTAGTGAGTGATTAAATGATTAAGGACAATATTCACGCACTAGTTGCTATCTAACCAACACCAAACTGAGCCTTCTGCAAGCACTATTTCATTGAATCCCCTCAAATAAAGTCAATATATGTGATATAATTAGCTTCACATTATGATCAGGCAAATGATGCAGAGAAAGGTTAAACAACTTACCTGAAGTTGCAATCCTAATAAGTAGAGGGACTAGGATCTGAAGCCAGGTAGTCTAATATCAGAACCCATGTTATATAATATTGCTTCCCATTAAGTCCTAAAATGCCATGAAGGGAGAGTAGGCTGCAAAAAGCTGAGAGGTGAGAGGGTCAGAAAGGTGTTCCCGAATGGAGAAAAGGATAAGAACCCGCCCTTAACTGGTGGGGTGGTCTCTGGAGAAAGGAGAAAACCAAAGAGATCCCTCTGGACAGGAGATCAAAAGCCATCTGGAAAGCCAGATGGAATATAGCAGCAGGGAACAAAGTGTTTCCAGTATTGGGAAGGTATTGAGGAATCTATCAGACAAGAGGGGAAGGGAAGTCAGACTGGAAAGTCAGGGGGGCTAGCTGAAGAGAGGAAAGGCAGTGATTCTTCGCTGAAATTTCAGATCCCATGTGAAATTGGGATATACATATATATGTTATATATATTATATCAATATAGATATAGATATATATGTCCTATATCTTGCCCCAGTGAACAGGGGATTGTTGTTTAATGTCTGAAGTTTATGTTCAGTCTGAATGAAACATTTCATTCTAGCGTGGACACTTACAAGCCCACTTACAAGCTTCATTCAGTAAGAAAAAAAAACACTTGTTTATTTCTTTGCTACACTTACGGTCTAATAATGCTTTCTTCTTCCTGTAAGCTGTATGCTTCCTAAACTGTGTCTGTCACTAAAAGAACTCACACTAAGATTTGAAACTTACTGCATCAATGAGAGTATTTCAGCGGTGTCAGTAAGTAACTGTTGGATAAAGGATACAAAGCTAGGAAACAGGTATCATGTCCTTACAAACATCACAGAGGATTCTTTTCTCCTCTGAAGCTATCCTACATGCAAGATGAAAAAATTCACCTCCTAAGAGAAGAAAAATAAGCCACCTAGAAATTACATAGGATGTCTGCAGAAAAGGGAATCATTTCTCACCTGCTAGAATGATTGGAAACAATTTATGATGGAAAACCACATTTTAATCCTTCCCCTTGGCATTTCAATTGAATTTAAACACACTTGGGCATGCCATGTCTGTTTACACACACACATATACACACACATACACACTGTGCTTAAACTTCATTTACATTGATTTGCTTTGCACTGTATAGCAGCATTGAATCATTCCAAAAATTTAGCTTAATTCGAAGGTAAGTATTTTTGGAGAATTGTCTTAAAAGTTGTTTGTAGTGTTATCAATGATACTTGATAACATTGCAGAAGATAACTCAGGGTGCACAATTCACTTTGCATTAAGATTTGAAGTAGCTCAGGCTTCAGCTGTGAATATCCCTCAACTTGTAAATCACCGGAGCATGGACAGCGTGCCTTGACCACAGAGCTTGCCCTTTTGTGTGACACAGAGTCATCTAGTATAAGAATTCCTTTTTCTCCTTTTAGTTTGTGTTAAAAATTATTTATTAATTTTCCCTCTGGTAAAAGTAATTCCAGAGTTTGCCTTTTCCTTTTTCTTTTGAGGGAAAGAGGTAACTTTTCAAGCAGTTTCCTTCGTCATTTTAGGCAGCTGGCCAGTGAAATATAGACTAAACAACAGTGAGGATATTAATTTTACCTCACTATATGTGCACACAGCCAGTGATGCATTAAGTCCTCATGCCAGACTGACAATAAAAGGGCTGTGTAATTGTCTAGAGTCCAACGTCACTAATGGTTGTCTGAGGGAATTGGAAAGAGATAAGAGAACAGACCTTGGGGAATAATTTTCAAATGGCTACAAAGTGATGGCAGAGACAGACTCATACCTACATCAGTGGGGTGTTCAGAGAATTAATCTCTAGTATCTTTAATGCTGCATGTGAGAAGAAAAAGTTCAAAATGAACCTAAAAGAAAAACACCCATATTCACGGATATAGTTACTGTTTCCTGGCAGCAGAAGAGGCTGGGTGAAAAGAGGATTTAAAAAAGTCAAGCTTATTATTGAAGTCTACAAACACACAGATCAATTCACAAATCATATGTTAGAGCATGGTGTTTAAATGTGAGCACTGTGTAAAAGCAACTCTCAGGTTAACAAGCAGAACCTCACGTACCCTCCAGGGGACCTGCCCACACCTCTATGTCATCATTGTCTTCCTCTTGGTAAACCCTACCCAGCTCTATCATCAGATTACATTGATTTTTTATGAACATTATAAACAGACCATACAGTGTGTATTCTTTTGTGATGGGCTTCATCTTAATTCAGTATTTTATTTGCTATTTAAGTGTGCTCTTAGTTCATTCATCACATAGCTGGATAGTGTTTGCAGTGTATGAATCAACCACAATGTATCTGTTCAACTACTGAGAACATTTTAATAGAAGATGTTGCATTTAGTTCATTCCTCATATAGCTGTATAGTGTTTGCAGTATGAATCAACCACAATGTATCTGTTCAACTACTGAGAACATTTTAATAGAAGATGTTCCATTTAGCTCATTCCTCACATAGCTGTATAGTGTTTGCAGTGCATGAATCAACCACAATGTATCTGCTCAACTACCTAGAATATTTTAATAGAAGATGTTCCATTTTGTTTTCCCTTTGGCTGCACCTATACTAAAATTGGGAGTGATACAGAGAAGATGAGCAAGGCCATTGCACAAGGATGACACCCAAAGTCAGGAAGCATTCCACATTTTTGAAATGTTGCCATTTGTGACAAATACATGGAACTGGAGTGCATTATGGTAAGTGACCTAAGTTAGAAGAGAAAGATAAATATCAGATGATATCACTCATTTTTGAAATACAGAGAAACAAAACAAAGGAACAGACAAACTAAACCAAATAAATCCTAGAAATCTGGCTGTAGAATTGAAGCTACCAGAAAGGGGGAGTGGGGTAGGGTGAAAAATGGGAGGGGGCTAAATCTACTCTGGTGGAGGATTCTGGGTGCTTTGGCAGTGAGTGTGCTATCATGACATACATCTGAAGAGGTGGATCTCAATAAAACAGTGTTATAAGCCAATATTACCTTAATAAAAAAAGAAAATAACCATTCTGTATATCACTGAATTTGATTAGCTAATATTTTTTCTAGGACTAGGACTTTTATATTTATATGAGAGAGATTGGTCTTTTGTTTCTTGTTATGGTTTTTCTATACTTTGGCATAAAAATTATTCTGGCTTTATAAAAACAGCTACTCTGTTACTATTATCTGAAAGTATTTCTTATAGAGAAAGTATTGTTTCTTCCTTAATTTTTGGGAAGAATTATTTGGCAAAACATGGAATCTATTTTCTTTTTTTTTTTTTTTTTTTTTTTTTTTTTTTTTTTTTTTTTTTTTTTTTTTTTTTTCCTTTTTATAGAGGCATGCTTTATTTATTTGTTTGCTGGTTTGTCTGCTTTGTCCATACATGCACTGGGTACAGTCAGAAGCGCGGGAGGGTGAGAGAATTCACCAGAGCCAGAGCGGGGAGCAGAGCAGGCAGAAGGACCGAGGTACACTGCTGAGGGGAGCAGCGGGCGGCAGGAGAGGTCTGCGCGCCATGTGGGACCCTCCTCCGGTGGCCGGGGAGCAGCCGGGGATCGAACCGGCGCCGCAGAGGCCGCGGGCAGCTTCGCAACCCAGCGCTCAACCGCTGCGCCACCGGGGAGGCCCAAAACATGGAATCTATTTTCTTAATAACCCTGAGAGGTCATGGAAATTTCTATTCTGTCCTTATGAGATGTCCAATTAGTTTTCTGTTCTCTTGACCCTATAATTTCAGAGCTTTACAATGTCTTCAGAGGGAGATATATTCTGTGTTTGATGTCCTTTAATTCTCTAATTCAGGCATTTTATGTGCAACTCCCCAAAGCTGCCCTGGTTTTTCTGACCCCCCTTTAAGGCACAAGAGTAGTTTTCTAACCTATATGTGCATTTCAGGATCAGCAAATGTTACCAGGGAGAGCTAAAGATCACCAGATCACTTCAAAAAGGATCCTTTCCTTCTAAATGCTTCCTTCTAAATGATAACATAGATTTTAGCTATGTTCAAATGTATGAATTTATCACTTATTTTTGAGTCGTAAGTATGGCCTTCCATGAATAACTCCATTCTCTTTAGAAGTTGAAAGGAGGATTTTTGAAACATTTTTTTCTTACATTTGCTTTGTGCTTACTAATTATAGGAAGAAGCTCTGGCACCACATAAGTAACTTATCTGCCATCCTAAAAGATGTCTTTTGGCAAAAGGCTGATTTCTTGGGAGGGGCTCAAAGACTCTTTGGAGGTTGGTTTTGAAAAAGGATGTTTACATGTAAATTAATGTCAGGGCACGTATCAGTAAGACATGAACTCCTTATCCCTTTATAATGGAGAAGGCAGAACTGAATTTGCATACTTTAGTCTACTGTGCCTTTTCCGTAACCTCTCTAACTGATCTTCCCCTGCTCTTTCAGCAACCTCTCTAATTTTAGCTAAGCTATTTAAGCTGGTGTCTGAAGCCATGTGAATGAGTTGCTCCATACTTTGAGTCTCTCCCATAGATACAGGGGATGTACAAGTTATTAAACTTCTTTCTCACTTTTGACTTTTTGACCTTTTCTCTTATCAATCTGCAAGTTGCTTATTTGATTACTTGCCAGCCTAGAAGAATCCAGAGGGGTATGGGATGACTCACTTTGTGCTCTGATATTAAACAAGCAACCAACCAAAAGTGTATACTACAAATAGAGGCACATGCTTAACTCAGTCACCTTTTAAAATGGTAAACCTATGTAAATTGTTGCCAATAACTTTCAAACATTTCTTACTATAATGATGCTAAAATAGGATCATTTTGTGGAATTGTTAAAATCTACCTCACTTTTAAGGGGACAGAATGAAAAGTAGGGAGTAAGAGATGTTCTTTATATATGTTCTTGACTATAGGTGTTGTCTTTGATTGCAAAAAATAATTTCATAAAAGCAAACAGCTTATATACGAGATAAAGTGGCTTATAGAATACATGCATTGTCGGGCCTCCCCGGTGGCGCAGCGGTTGAGCGCTGGGTTGAGAAGCTGCCCGCAGCCTCTGCGGCGCCGGTTCGATCCCCGGCTGCTCCCCGGCCACCGGAGGAGGGTCCCACATGGCGAGCAGACCTCTCCTGCCGCCCGCTGCTCCCCTCAGCAGTGTACTTCGGTCCTTCTGCCTGCTCTGCTCCCCGCTCTGGCTCTGGTGAATTCTCTCACCCTCCCGTGCTTCTGACTGTACCCAGTGCATGTATAAACGAAAACAAAAACAAACAAATAAATAATAAATAAATAAAAACATGCCTCTATAAAAAAAAAAATATAAAAGAATACATGCATTGTCTAATAATAATTCAAGGACCTAATAGATCTAGAACCCAAGTATCCTTAATCCTAGAACAAGTCTAGAAAAAGGCAGTTTACCTCTGAAAAAATAAAACAACTATATAGTATTGTTACTGGATTTTCATAAATATTTATGTAATAGCAGCCTTTAAAAATTCTACTTATAAACTATGAAGTTTTCTTTATGAAACCTCATCCTGTATCTCTTTTGTAATACATTTCTTTTGTAGCTAAAAGGTTTGAATCATCTTCCTGTAAACATTTCTTCTAATGTTTAACTCCTTGTATGGCAATACAAGGAGTTTGGACTTTATTCTGTAGGAAATGAGAAGCCTAGGAAGAATTTCAAAAACTTAAGTAAAGAGATTCCGTGTAGGGCCTCCCCGGTGGCGCAGTGGTTGAGTGCTGGGTTGTGAAGCTGCCCGCAGCCTCTGCAGCGCCGGTTCGATCCCCGGCTGCTCCCCAGCCACCAGAGGAGGGTCCCACATGGCGCGCAGACCTCTCCTGCCACCTGCTGCTCCCCTCAGCAGTGTACTTTGGTCCTTCTGCCTGCTCTGCTCCCCGCTCTGGCTCTGGTGAATTCTCTCACCCTCCCGCGCTTCTGACTGTACCCAGTGCTTGTAGAATTAAATAAATGAATAAATAAATGAATAAATAAATAAATAAATAAATAAATCTTTAAAAAAAAAGAGAGATTCGGTGTATACACTCACACACCCAAACACATATCTGTATATTTATGAAACACTACTAGCTAAGTGTGGAGGCTACATTAGAAGAAATGTTTACAGGAAGATGATTCAAATCTTTTAGCTACAAAAGAAGTGTATTACAAAAGAGATATAGGATGAGGTTTCATTTTTTTTTAAGATGTATTTATTTATTTATTTATACAGCACTGGATACAGTCAGAAGCACAGGAGGGTGAGAGAATTCACCAGAGCCAGAGCGGGGAGCAGAGCAGGCAGAAGGACCAAAGTACACTGCTGAGGGGAGCAGCGAGTGGCAGGAGAGGTCTGCGCGCCATGTGGGACCCTCGCTTGGTGGCGGGGGATCCAACCAGCACTGCAGAGGCTGTGGGCAGCTTTGCAACCCAACACTCAACTGCTGCGCCACCGGGGAGGCCCTAAGATGAGGTTTCATAAGAAAACTTTATAGCTTATAAGTAGAATTTTTACAGGCTGCTATTACGTAAATATTTATGAAAATCCAGTAACAATACTATATAGTTGTTTTATTTTTTTAGAGGTAAACTGTCTTTTTCTAGACTTGTTCTAGGATTAAGGATACTTGGGTTCCAGATCTATTAGGTCCTTGAATTATTAGACAATGCGTGTATTTTATAAGCCACTTTGTCTCGTATATAAGCTGTTTGCTTTTATGAAATTATTGTTTGCAATCAAAGACAACACCTATACTCAAGAAAATAATCATTAAATGTTTACCTTAGTAATAATCCTGTAAGTAATAAAAGTTTTAATTGTAAAAAAAAAAAAAAAACTACCTCACTTTTTAACTAAAATTGTTTTTTAAAAGATAGTCTGGGGCCTCCCCAGTGGCGCAGTGGTTGAGCGCTGGGTTGCGAAGCTGCCCGCGGCCTCTGCGGCGCCGGTTCGATCCCCGGCTGCTCCCCGGCCACCAGAGGAGGGTCCCACATGGCGCGCAGACTTCTCCTGCCGCCCGCTGCTCCTCTCAGCAGTGTACTTCGGTCCTTCTGCCTGCTCTGCTCCCCGCTCTGGCTCTGGTGAATTCTCTCACCCTCCCGTGCTTCTGACTGTACCCAGTGCATGTATAAACAAAAAAACAAAACAAACAAACAAATAAATAAATAAAAACATGCCTCTATTAAAAAAAAAAAAAAAAAAGATAGTCTGAATACCAAGTAAAAAGGCTGAACAAACTGAAAACTGTTAGGCATTATGCCAGTTGCTAAATATTGAAAAATAAAATGTATCTGGCTTCAGAGTTCATATTTATTAGGGAATGACGTGAATCAGATAATTTTATCTTTAATATTTTCCAAAAGAATGAATAATTGGCTGAATTATTATGAGTTTATGAAGACTTTAGAAAGCCATCTAAGCCATACCAGAAGAGAGATCAGGAAGTCTTTGGAGTATAATTACATGATGTTTGAAGAATGATAAGGAAATAGACAGATTTGGTGAAAACAGAAGATTGATCTGATGTCCCAGGTAAGGGAAAGGCAGTGATAAAGCACATACTTTAGGGAAATATAAGAAGTTGGAACAGTTATCAGGTAGGAGTAAAGTGGTAGAAAGTCCAAATATTCCTCTAAGGAGTAGAAAGTGACATGAAGTTACATATGGTGTAGGAAGGTCAGTCATGTGAAAA